GCCTGGCTTATTTCACTGAGCATAATACCCTCTAGCTCCATCCATGTTGTTGCAAATGGTAGGATTTGTTTTCTTCTTATGGCTGAATAATATTCCATTGTGTGTATGTACCTCATCTTCTTTATCCATTCATCTACTGATGGACACTTAGGTTGCTTCCATTTCTTTGCTATTGTAAATAATGCTGCAATAAACAGGGGTGCATATGTCTTTTTCAAACTGGGCTGCTGCGTTCTTAGGATAAATTCCTAGGAGTGGATCAAGAGTTTGTTTTTTAATAAGAAACCATTCATTAGGAAGACTTTTCTAAGCACTATTTTATTTTAACCAAGAAAACATTTTTACTTCTGTTTTCTTTTTTTCTGAGGTTCTTTTTCTTCCTGTATCTGAGAGCTAATGTATTTGTAGATTTTTATTTCCTTTGGAGAAAAGACAACTGTTTTCAGCAAGGCTTCTAAAAAATTCCATGGAAATCTGTGAATACAATTTCTTATTTACAATCATTATTTTGGATTCAATGGCTTTGATAAATCAAGAATTTAATCCTGCTTCCTTAGCTATACATTATTGGATAACAATGAGGAAATAGAAATTATAAAGTCACTGGTTGAAATGTGATACTCATAAAATATAGCAATTATATATTTTCTAATCATTTTCAAACCTGAAGGAATAGGGAGGGAAATCCCTTTTGATGAATAATTCACTAAGATAGGAAATTTCTAGTTTGAGAAATAATTACTATAAAAGTAAATTGATATTTTCTTGCTAACAGTATTTTATGGTCTTTTAAACACCCATCTTTCCATTAAATGAACCACTAAAAATCAGTTTACTTCCCCAACTTATTTCTCCTGCTGATACATGTAAATTTTTTCTATAAGCTGCTGTTAAGGATATCCTTGAGGATCCTGCTATTTCCAGTACAAGTACACAAAAGGAAATTGTGCTGACATTTTTCACTTTATGTTTAAGAGTTAGTCATTCATTGCTCATTATATTGATGCAGTCTGGCCGCGCCGAGTCGAGCAGGTCCTGAAGTGCGGAAGGGGGGCGAAGAAAACAAAGACAGACAGAAAGAACTGGGAGGGCTGATGCTCCTGTGCATCGCCAGCAAAGCTTTATTCCAGTCCAGGGTATTTATACAGCAAAGAAGCATACTATTCCAGGAAATAGCATTATCCAATAGACAATCAAGCACAGTATTAACGTCAGCGGCGGTAGCCGGGCAAAGGTAGGCACAGCAGGGCTCCTTCAGTTGCTCATGCAATGCGTAAACAGGATGTTCTTTGTTCTCCATTCCCACCACATCAGCAAGTGGGGGAAGGGCATAGCCCACTCCCCACATTATATCACCTTAATGCCATCAGATCATTATGTGTTATTGAGAAAACCAAATTTTATTCAATACCCTTTTATTTTTTTGGAGTCCACTTCTTTCAACTACTTCATTTTGTACTTGCTATTTTTACATCTGACTAAAATTTACCTATCTTATGCTTCAGTCCAGTGTTTTACCATGGGATAAAGCTAGTGTGCTTTCTCATTTTCATTTTAGTAATTATCAGGAAGATAATTCCTGCCTTTGTTATCTACACAATTAATGATTCTAATAGTGGCACTTTCAAAAATAGACTGATAAGGGAATGGGGAAGGTCAAAACCAGGTACACTAGGAGAATAAAGTTTTGGATATTATAGTTTTTTGATGCCTTACAGATCAAACCAGTGTAGACAGCAACCTATGCATCTAAGAAACCCCAGAAGTTGCTTATTTATTGTACAAATATTTCCTGGGTATTTATACACAAGGTGCAATATACAATGCCTAGAGCCATTCAAAGAATAGACTCAATTAGACTGTTTTAAAGCTTTATTAAAATTTTTTATCATAAGCTATTTTACTCTT